CCTTCCAGCTTTCTCCCCTTCTTCTTTCTCCTCTAATTCATCTTCCTCTTCATCCAACTCATCATAATTCTCATCATTATCAGATTCCAATTCTTCTTCACCTTCACCTTCTTCTTCATCTGGTACTACTTCCTCTTCGTCATCATCATCATCCAAATCAACGTCAAAATCTTCGAGGGCGAGTTCAGATTCAGAATCGTCTCTTGTCAAAGCGGATAGACTAGAACGGGTAGAATGAGCTACCATCTTGCGTGAAGGTCGATAGAATGTAGAAGCGGGGATAGTTTCAGTGAAAGTGTATGGTCTACGTTTCTGTTATTTAGCACTGTGATGTTTATTGTCACTTAAATTAGCCTCTTGGGCTCTGAGAGAGAGAGAGAGGAAAGCAGTCAGATGAGCGATATGTGGAGGGTACGACTGAGGAGAAGCCAACTAGATAGGTCAAAGTGGGAAGGATAGAGGAAACGCGAGGAGCCTCTTGGGCTCTGAGAGAGAGAGAGAGAGGAAAGCAGTCAGATGGATGATATGTGGAGGGTCGACTGAGGAGAAGCCAACTAGATAGGTCAAAGTGGGAAGGAGGGAGGAGACGCGAGGCAACTCTGGGTATTCTGAGTTTTTGGAGGGGAGCGGAGGTGAGAGAGGTGTACCAAAGAGGATATTTATTGGTGGCAGAATACGAAATATACGGGTTAATAAAGAGAAGGAGGAAAAACGAACGAATCTTTCAGAACCACGAATGATCCAACGTGAGTTGTAGAGGAACCGATGCTGATAAAGTAGAAGACCTGGTTCGGAGAGAGAGAAAGAGAGAGAGAGAAGAAAGAATGAGAACGAAGAAGAAAGAAAGAAGAGATTCAATAGATGAGATGACTCCAACCACAACTTCCTTTGTATAGTTTCCCACAAAGGATCAAGAGAATTGGTATGTTACAACTCACTTTGGATGATTTATCCCCTACTGTTCCTATTTGTCTACCTCTTCCTTTTTTCGGTCCCTCACGTCTTTCTCTCAAACTGATTTTCTTCCCTTTCCTTTCCTCTTCCTCCTCTTCCTCACTTTTATCCCTACGATTCTTGTATCTCCTTTCCTCTATGATACTTTTCAAACTTTTCCGTCCTTCTCGTCTTTCTCTCAATGTTTGTAATCCTTTTTTAACATCTTTACTCTTCTGCTTCTTATAAGACATCCTTTTACTTCTTCTTACCATCATGTCATCACTATCTTCACTGAACAAAACACTACCTCTATCGGATGACGAACTGGAACTGTGATCGACTAGAAAAGGTTCATCATCACGATCGGGTGAAGACCAAGTTTTAAAAGTTGGTCCTGTTCTTCTTGCTCTCTTCTTCCTCTTTTTATCATTCAAATGACTCTCTTCACTCCTTAAATCTTCACTGTCAAAATGATCATCTTGATCATGTCCACTCGAACGTCTTCGAGAACTTTTCGAGGGTTTTTCAAGACCTCTAGGGATTGAATAAGATTTCATCCTTCTTAAAGACATATAAGGTATTTCAACCACCGGTTTGATAGCTTTAACTTTAGATCTTCTCTTTTCTATGTCTTCCGAACTCGATGTAGACTTGGTGGATCGTCTTCGAGCGGCTTTAGGCGGGTCGTCAGAGTTGTATTCAGATTGAGAATCGATATGACCGTGAAGGTTTAGAGAATCTGAAGAAACGCGACGGTGACGACGTTCACGATTACGAGCTGTACATTCAATATTTATCATGTGTATGAACAAAGTGTGAATGAGGTAGAGAGAACAACTGACGTTTGTTCATGGGAACGGATTGTTCATCACTATCATCTATCACGATAGGATTGGGAGTGTTCTCGTGAGCCTCTGTTCGGTTAGTCGGATCTTGGCCCTCACTTCAACTGGAATACGAACGGACAAAGTGAGATGGGTTGAGAGAATATCACAAAAGAATAGAAGTAGACTCACTCTTCCTGCCTTTTATAACAGATGAATTGGCAACATTGTCATTCTCATCAGCCTCATCTTCCCCATCACCTTGACCACGGTCGTCAGGACTTTTAGATTTCACTCGAAGTTGATCCTCCATGAACAGCTCTTCTTCTTCCGTGTCCATTTCGAACTCCATGTTGAGATCCTTTCAACTGGTTACTGTTCGGTTGTGGTTCAGTCAAGTAGAGTCACGATGGAGTATGGTACAGTAGTAATCTTGTCAGCGGATCAGGGGTGATGCAGCTGCTGCTAGATGGCGGTTGGGGGTGGTGGTGAAAGTCACGTGACTCTTCCCCTCTCTCCTACATACCCAAAGTGGTAGTTTGATGGCTGCCAGGGGAATTTGTAACATAGCCGTCCTTTTCCCTCTTTAACCTATTGTGAGGGGGGTATGTATCATGCGAGTGTGTTCTGATTCTCATATCCTCGCAGAGGATTAAACGGAGAGATAAAGGGTATAAAAGACTTGATCGTTCGGAAAAATTCCCATTCTTCTCATAATTCAACATGTTGAGGGCGTCTTCTATCTTGGTGAGTTGAGATCAAGAGAGTGATGACTGATGGTAGAATGTATTCAGAACGACCACTCTCCTCAAACAAGTACCTCGTGCGAGAGGCTACGCAAGGGGTACGATCATTGGAAGAGTATGTGCTATGCCGAAAGAAGCAGAGACGGATAGTGGGAAAAAGTATTGGATGTGAGTGATTACTTTCCTTTGACAGTGTCAACTCTAGCACTCTGGTAGCATGGTAGCATGAAGTACCCCCCAAGCACTCTTGTACTGAGGGTGGCAGTGGAACAGACCTGATATTCAGATACCACCTGGCTTCACCCACTCGTCCTCTGAAGAATTCCGATGGTGGTGAGTTTTGTCTCTATACTTGAGGTGTAAAAGCTAATGGAAGATGTGATAAACGATGAATACGGTTGTGAGTTCACCGATCCACCATTGGCAAGTAAGATGTACTTACTGATTCAAAGTCCCTGTGGTACCTCTGAATTGGTGAGTCTTCCTTGATTCTTCGCCCCTACGTTCAACCTACACAAAAATATCTTTCCCGATACACCTCGGACCATCTCTTACACATTAATCACCATATGATTGATCGCTCGTTGACCAACCTCTTCATGCTATCATCTCCTTCGTTACCTCGGTCAACCACCTTTACTTCTCTGTTCAGTAAGACCTATGCAGGACTAGTGAACTGGATGACCATTCACCGGATAAAATCAGAGGGCAGGATTGACATCACAGGTTCTACGTCTTCAACTTTCAAAAAGATGCTAAAGAGAAACTTGCGGATGTGAAAACTGGTGATATGGTCTTGGTTGATGGTGGGATTGTTCTTCCTCTTACATTCCGTTCCACATATTCTCCACTGATTTCGCTCTGGCCGTTCTGTGTGTTCAATGATTCACATACATCTCTTCACATGACAATGATTGCTGAGACTGACGTGTAGTAACTCTTGACGTGAACTGGAACGAACCGTTTGGTGATAATAAAGAATTCGCTACTAGTCAGATATATCTACAGTATGTTTCAATCCCCCCTCTCCCTATCTTCTTTCTCTACCCTACCTCCCCTCTCTCTCCATTCCTCCTTTACACCTTCCGTCTTTCTCCCCACTCCCACACTCTTATGCCCATTTAGCGTATATCATCCCATCGATCCAACTGCTCTCCTCCTCACACCTGCATGGTACCTCCAGCCATATCAACTGACAACCAGCGAACTGAGTCATCGTGTCTTGGCTCAAACCCGAAAACCAGACCCCCCCACTTATCCCGAACCCCCTGCTCCTGATTCCAGTACAGGCCCAGCGGACGGTGCCACCTCGGAGAGCGGGCCGAAAACATCTATTAGAATTGGTTTCTCTGAGAACAAGTCAACGGGTGATAAGACTAAAACTAAAGCTGGTCGATTCGGAGCAGGGAAATAATCTTTTTTCTGTGTACCTATCATAAAACCTCTTCAAACATACTCAATTCACAATATATATGAATATGTTTCCTCTGCTTATCATCACTTTGACCAAACTACAGAGTACTATTCGCTGCATGCGCTGCAGCATGCACCAAGTTACGCTACTCTTTTCGCAAGTTACTGAGCTGCATGCTGTCATGCCGCATGCCGCCTTGGGGGAGGGGTGGTGGTGGTGGTACATGGGGCCCCGAATTGTCCTTTCTCCTTTCTCCCCTCTTAACACACTTAGTTACTCGTACTTTTCCTTTCTTCCAACAATACATGATCAAGTGTCAATCTTGTACTCCGACTCCGACTGGGCTTGATAAATAGTATGAACCACTATCAACACTTTGAATCTGGACGACAATTCAACAATTCAACAATTCAATAATCCAATAATTCAATAATTCAATTAAAACAAAACAGTGATAAAAATTATGTTAGACAACTTTGATCCTGAAAAAGAACTTTACAATTCACTCCTTCTCAATTCGTTCGGTTTAAAATCATTTCATCTTATTCCACAATCTTCTAAATTATCTCAATCTAATATTTCTCATGATAAACTTCTACTGTCCAAAAACGCAAGTACGACGCCTTTGATGTATGAAGTAAATGGGAAGAATTCTGAGGGAATAACGACTAAAGTATATGAGAAATGGGAATATAATTTGGGAATGGCAAGAGCGAAAGTTGTTTTACTTGATTTAGTCAATATATACCATGATCATCGAGATCAAATTGTTCTCACTGGGGTCGTGGACGAATCTGGAGAAAAGGAGAAAACGACTCTCACTGGGATCGTTGACGAATCTGGAGAGAAGGAGAGAACGGCTCTCAGTGGGATTATGGACGAATCTAGAGAGAAAGAGAAAGAGAAAGATGACTTGTCATCCATTAAAGTCGAAGTATCTGTAGAAAAAAAGAATGACGTCTTAATTCACTCTGATATCGTTGAAGAATCCGTACACAAAGAGAAGAAAGAATCCAACCGGAATATCAAAATTGAAAATGAGTCAAGGGAGGTGAAGGAAGATGAAGTTCTGCACAAGAAAAGAGAAGTGTCAAATGAATCAGAACGAGGAGAGTGCATAGGAGTTGGAGTACAAAAAGGAGGTAAAACAATAATCATTCATCTTGATTCTAAAGGATATTCAGTAAGTCTTTTTTTTTTTCCATATCCAATAATCAATTCCCCATCTTCCATTTCCCCAGAGGTTCAATTTCGTTCCAGTCAATACACTGATAATATGAATCGATAGGAGCAGGAGTAAAGGATTGAGTAGAATCGATAAGAGGTTCGAAAGCTCGGATTGAAAATTCATATATCGAATCGGTGATGAGGAGGAACAGATCAGAAGAGTAGAGCTAATGATAAAACTCAGGTGGAATCGGTTATATATCAAAATATGATGAAATACGAATCACTCGAAAGTCTTTTAATCTCAATATCACCGTTTTATGTGGAATGTATGAATAAACAACTTGATCAAAAATTAGAATTATTGTTACTCGAAACTCGATTCAGACCTTCAAACTTTTCCGACCCTTCTCACCCTTCCAACGATTCCCACTCTCCTCGGCCTCCCCATCAATTCGGCGCTTTTCACCCTTCTGAAAGTCTGGACGGACCAATAAACCACGAATGACGAACCAATGAACCACGAATGAGAAATGACGAATGGCAAACCGTTAAACCACGAATGAGGAATGAGGAATGAGGAATGACCGACGATCTGTCAAGTGGACGGTTTATCAATCCTCTTACGCTCGACGATCGACGAATCAACACCAGACGATAATCATGACCGATAACGATGTAACGTGTGGGAGGAGACAGTGAGATAAAATTTAGAACAACCACCATTTCTGTCGTCGTTCATCAATCTTAGATGTGATCTTATTGGATGGATGGAGGACACTCATGATCACACCAAACTCTAGAGTTAGTTAGAAGTCAGATGTAGTCCAACATTTCCGAAATACTGCATATTGCATGCTACGGTTCAACTTGATAACGTCCATGTTATACAAAATATCAATGCATCGGCCTATGCTCCCACCTATTCGTCTACTTGACACTGATATCAAGTCGATACCATTATGAGAAACCCCCGCTGCTCAAACCGCCGCTATACTCCTCTGAGCATCTCCACCGAGGTTATCAGGTATGGCGTATCTCGTATCTACGTCAGAAAGTAATTTACCGCCGTATAACACTTGACCGTGTTTGGCGTGGAATTGAGCTAGACGAGCTTCTACTTCCGGTCCTGGGAGTTAGCATATCTGAGTGGTGATTAGGATTGAGGCATGTGGAGCTCGGGTAGTGTTCGGTGCTTGGGGGACCAGACGATACTGGTGCATCGAAATGCCAGAGTACAAGAGGAGAGGGTAAGAGATTTATGGCGATGAGGGTGAGAATGAATGCAGGAGACGAGTGATTGGGACTAACGGAAATGTCTCATGAGACCTTGGATAGGCCAAGCGGCCGCATCGCCCAATGCGCAGATTGTGTGACCTTCGACTTGTTTACTGTTTTGTCAGTACGGTGTCGGGTAACGAAAATGGCAGACGAGGCAGGTAAGTTGAAAGATGATCAAGACATTGACGAAGATGAAGGCGCAGTATGACGAGGATAAAATTGAGCAGATCAAAGCATAATCACATGAATGAATGAATGAATGAGTCAACCGCAACGAAGAACGAAACGGAGTACGAAACGGTGGAAGGACATGAAGACGACATGAGTAAAAGGTAGGAATGAGCAAAAAGGAGAAGAGGAATCGATACAAGAGGAATAACAACGTGAGAGGTGACGGAAATTAGGAACATGAAAGACTAGAGAAGCGAAACAACCCACGTGAGTTCCAACAACATATCAATCTCCCTTTCCTGCGCTCTACCTTCAACCATCCTATCCATCATATTCATCATCCAAGTCGTACCTTCTCTACAAGGCGTACATTGTCCACAAGATTCATGTTTGTAAAACTTTGAAAATCTAGCGATGGCAGCTATCATATCCGTTGACTTATCCATCACGATGACAGCACCTGTTCCTAAAGAAGTTTGATTATCTTTGAGAGAATCGTAATCCATCCTGATATGTATTAGCCTTTTAATCTGTCTACGTGTCTGTTGAGAAGGAAAATGAGATATGAATATCACTCACAAGACCTTTTCACAAACATCTTTTGGAATGACAGGTACAGAACAACCACCAGGTATGATACCCTTCAAATTATCCCAACCACCTCTAATACCACCACAATGTTTTTCCAATAATTCCTGTAATGGTATACTCATTTCCTCCTCTATTACACAAGGATTATTCACATGACCTGAAACGCAAAAAACTTTGGTTCCTTGATTACGTTCTCTTCCAAATCCAGCAAACCATTGACCTCCACGTCTGATGATCGTAGGTGCCACAGCGACTGTTTCGACGTTTGCCACTGTACTTGGACAACCGAATAATCCAACGTCGGCTGGGAAAGGAGGTTTGAGTCTAGGTTTACCTTGTTTCCCTTCTAATGATTCTATTAAAGCTGTTTCTTCTCCACAAATGTAGGCACCAGCACCACGATGAAGATAAACGTCAAAATCGTATCCTGATCCGCAGGCGTTTTTCCCTATCAAGCCAGCTTTGTAGGCTTCATCGATGGCTTGTTGGACGTGTGATGCTTCTTGGTAGAATTCACCTCGGATGTAGATGTACGCTGGGGTTAGGGATAATCCTCATGAAGCATGATATATCATGCAGATTGGTGACCAGACAAGGGAGGTCATACAAGAGCGGGAGAGGACGAGGGATGACATCCGTGGAACGAAAAGACGAATAGGTTACGGGAAGCGTTTAGAGGTGTGCGGTGACTCACCAGCTGTAGCATTCATAGCTCTACCCGCTACCAAACACCCTTCCACCAGTTTATGAGGATCACCACGCATGATCTCTCTATCTTTACATGTCCCCGGTTCACCCTCATCTGCATTGACAACAAGATATCTCGGTCTCGGATCTTTTTCCCATCCAGGTTTGTTCACTGATGTCAGTTATAATTTCCTTCTCCTCCACTTGGCCTTCTGCCTTTCACTTCACTATTCTCGTCCTTCCGACCTACCTCCCTTGCCAGTGTTACCTCTCTTCAGGTCTAAGACGGAGGAGACGAATAGGAAGTCCATCATGGTGATGGACACATAGGGAACGATGGATAATGTGGTAGACACCAGAAGTGAAATCGAGGAGTGGGTTGAAAGAGAGAACTAAATAAACCCACTAAAACTCCACTTTAAACCACTGGGAAAACCAGCACCACCTCTACCTCTCAAACCGGAATCTTTAATCTGTTGAATCAACCAAGAATCACCTTTTAACAAGATCTCTTTAGTCTTATGCCAATCTCCTCTAGATCTAGCACCTTTTATCCCATGATCATGTCTGCAATAAAGATTTGTGAAGATCCGATCTTGATCTTTAAGACCACCATAATGTCTGACGGGTGGATCAGCAACGGTCGCTAATGAACGTATGAGGTTTGTTCTTTGTGAGATTGCATTGAGAGGTGATGGGTTGGAAGTGGAAGGATGAGATCGGAGAAGGTTGGATTTGGGAAGAGATCGAGGTCGGAAGGTTGATGTGGATTGTCGAAGTAATGAAGTTGATGATAGCATTTTTGTTCCCTCTTCTCAGATTCTCAACTTTACAGATCTGGATCGCGCAGTGGAGTTCTCCCTGAGGTCTGAGCTGTCAAATGGAGAGTTTTGGAGATGGTGTTGGTTGGTAGGTAGGTAGGTAGGTAGGTGGGGAGAGTGAAGTGACTTAGGGGGGAACCAATCGGGATAAGGCGGATACATTACTCTTTCGGGGTTATGAAAAGTGGCACTTTGAGTATACGTTCCGATCCCGTGCGTACATACCTGTCCATGTGGCATGTGGCTATGTGGCAGATGGCAGGTGGCATCTTATGCGGTGGGTGTGTAGAGTCCTCTCTTTACATCAACCCCATTCATATGAGGGTTAAGCGTCCTTTAGAGCGAAAGCACGGCAGATTTGAATC